GCCATGCGACCGCCAGAAGACCAAAGATGTGTTGCTGGGTATATACTGGCGACTCATGGCCATAAGGAGGGACGGGAACGTGGAATGTGCGATGTGGGCAGACCGCATGCTGCAGACTGTGAGGGCTGAGACAGAGAGGTATTTCCCAAGCACCCTGACGTACCGAACAGAGAGCGGCGAAGAAACACAAGAGCATTTCTCCGGGTATCTCCCGATTTTGCACAAGATGTTTCAACGCGACACCCAGCTAGAGCATGATGTTCGGCTGCGAGTGTTTGCACAAAGTAGGAAGCAGGTGTTGGAATTGTAATCCTGCAGCTTTTAAGTGTTTTAGATGCGGCTGTTTCCAGCTTGAACTGGCTCTGCAGCTTCAGCCGGTTTCCAGAGGACAGGTCAGTTAGCAAACTTGGTCAATGACGGTGTTGTGCGTGAGCTGTTCGGGCCATCAACTTTGTCGAAAACTTCTTTATCATCGCTTCGCGCCATGACGAAGAGATTCACGTGTGTTACCAGATTCACAGGCAGTCTGCTACACAAAGCTTTCTTATTCATGGCACGAGGAAACGAGCAGACACAAGTGCGAATTGCGGCATTCGGCGAATGCAATTTCGTTCGAAGCTCCATGCAATGCTGATGCCGATCACCAACTAATCGCATGAGGTGCGGCTTGCGAGAGCCTTGTGGGCAAGCACTGCGCCCCTTGCTGGCCTTGCTTTTCCCGGTTTCTGCCGAACTGATGTATGTAATGTGTCAGAGACCGTGGGTGGCCCTCACCCAACTTTGAGTCTTCCCTCCTCGGGTAGGGAAGTTTGTCAGGCCCTTCTGCCTCCTTCCTCCTCGGTGGGCGGGGGAAAAGAGGGGGTCGTTTCGAGTTGAAGTACGTAAATCGTAATTCGCAACACGCCCTGGATACCATTTCCACAAATTTTCCACGTCTGTGCAAGCTCTCAGGAGTAGTTGTGTGCATCTTAACAATCCACTGTGCTCTTCCATCGCCATTCGCGCCAGCTGATAGTTCTGTCTCGTCTTGCTGTAGTTCCCAAGCGTAGGGTCATTCACGAAGGGTTCGGGACAAATCATTGAAGCCCGCGTGTAGCAGTCGGACCAAGTTTGTGTTGCTCGGTCGGTTCTCGGGCCTCGGGTGTGTTGTTCGTTTTGCAAGGATCAAGCACATGTTGTTGGAACCAGCAGATGCCTGAGAGTATATAGAGGCTTGCACGTGCACACAGGAAATGGGTGACCATCTCTGTCACAGCATGCTAAGCATCGCTGTGGTTTGATTGTTCGCTAGTAGGAACTTTTGTTGTTGGCCAGGTTTACCTGCAGCGAGGCCCAGCATGATCCAAAAATCACGGTCAGTCCAGAGCGCGATTCGGCACTTTGAAAGCGGAGGTTTTCGAGATCCTCGGCAAACGCGGGTCAGAAGTTGAAAGCAGCACGTTTCTTCAGTCCGCTTCACCTAAGGACTCCGTGGACCTGCACAGCGATACCCCTCTGGCTCCGGCATTTTGGCGACCCGTCTGCAACTTAAGCTGCTGCTGCCGATCACTACTGCTACTAATTAATGCTGCTTTGACGGCTGCTGCTGTGGCTGCTACCACTATACAACTACAGCAACACTACGATTACTACTATTACCTGCCACCCCCCCTTCCAACCACTGGCGCCATCCGGGCTGGGCAGTGGCAGCTTCTAGGCTCCCTCATTGTGGCGGCTGCAGAAGATGCAGGGGCTCAGGCTCCCTATCTGTAACTGCTGCAGAAGTCGCAGAAGCTCACTTGCCTTAACTGTCACAGTCGGTGAAGTTGCAGAGGCTCAGGCCCCAAAACTGCGACAGCAGTTGGAGTTGCAATCTCGACGAGAAAGAAACTGTTAAAGCCCAGGCGGTTGGATAGTACGAAAGCGCTGTAAATACCCTGCAAAGCGCAGGTGCCGCCAAGAAGGTTTTAACACTCCTAAAGCCTGAAGCGCAACATCTTATAACAATCAAACACAAAGATGCCAGCTGTACGTGGGAGGAGCTCACCAACACCCATAAAGCCCAGACCTCGGCGTAGGAGGGTTTGCTTTTGAAGTACTTTGTGGTGTGCGCGCGCTAGGTGTGGAGATATAGTTCGGGGTGTCTGCGAAACAGTGTCGTGATCATCCCACGAAAAAGCTTCCCCCCACCCGAAAGCCCCCGAATCCCAGAGTCGAGTTCGCAAAGTGCAGAAGTAGGTTTGGTGAATATATGAACGGGTCCGACATCACGAAAGTGCTGTAAATACCGAGTAAAACGGCTCTTGTGGAGATGTTGTTTCGTCATCATCCCCCCCCACCCCGCCAAACTCCCCCAACCCCAATCCGAAGCCCAATTTTTCCAAAATCCAGGAGTGGATTTTGAGGCTAGAAGAAGTGGTATGACACGACGAACGTACCGTAAATACCGAGTAAAACGGATGTGCTGTTAAGAGGGTTTGTAGCAGAGGTGGTTGGTAGGGGGGGGGGCTACTACAACAACAACAACAACAACAACTACTACTACTACTACTACTACTACTACCACTACAATACTACTACTACTACTACTACTACTACTACCACTACTACTACTACTGCCGCTACTACTACTACTACTACTACTACTACTACTACTACTACTCCTACTCCGACTGCTCCTGCTCCTGCTCCTGCTCCTGCTCCTGCTCCTGCTCCTGCTCCTGCTCCTGCTGCTGCTGCTGCTGCCGCTGCTGCTACTGCTGAGGCATGCGAACAGCTCTGTATGTTTCCTAGAGTGCCAGCCGCACTACATTCAATTGAACATGTGTTGCAGATGTATCTACGTGCTTACAGTCCTGTAAAACGTTACCCTTTATCAAATAGCCAACTTCGGAAAAATATGTTGATTCTCGTCCAGTTCTAGAAATTGTAGTACCAGAAATCGTCATTGGAGTGGTAGTTCAACTGCATCTTCGGCTGCGTCTGCTCCTACGATCCAGTCGTATAGGTGGTTGGTGGTGCTTCCCTCGATTTCTAGCCTTACGTTCGTTGTCTCACAGCACGGGTGAAGTAAGTTCTGGATTTGCTTGTCAGCATCATCCTTGCCAGACTGGTCAGACTCTGACAGACGTGCCTTGGGTACGTGCTCGCATGTAAACGAGTATATCCTGAGCGCGAAGAACGGAATGGTCAGTAAGTAGATTCAACTGCTAGGTCAAGATCCGTTGTTCTCACTCGCTTCGGCTATAACGGTAGTCATGTAACCCTAGTCCCCCAGGTACTTACTATATAGGGTACTAGAGCCCCTAGGGCCCTATATGGTAGGTACCTGGGAGGTTAGGGTAATTGTACTGATGATATGAGGAGCTTTACATCTCCAGGTTTCAACTTACCGACTACGCCTTGTTCCCCCACCTGCAGTTCTTTGCCTCTGTGTCCGAGCTGGCGACGGGTCTGCGGCTGGGCTGGTGCCAGGTTGTAAGTCGCGTAGGCCCCAGGATCAAGGTCAGACTGCCTGCTGCAAACATGATTCAGCGTAGGGATGTGTAGGATTTTCCCGCAGTTTCGAGGCTCTGGCTCAGGGCCAGGAGTTTCCGGACAAAGCGGTAGCGGGTCTGTGCTCATGGACGTACTCACCACATCAGATCTGCGTCGAGACGGGTTACGGGTGTTGCTTGGGGGCTCCAGCAAACAAGCACCACCCCGGATGAAATGATGTAGAAGACCCGCTTGAGGGTTCGTCAAAGACTCCCTGCACCTTCGAAGCCTGACAAGAACCCGGGAATCCGGGAATCCCTGCCTGAATCGCTGGAGAATCAGGTTGGGGGCTGATTTGACTGCCCTTCACGAGTCCATGGCCCGGAAGCCCAGACAAAAAGCTGCAGATGCTCCGTTGCTAGGGCTTGGGGTGCCTACTACTAGGCGCCTAGACCTGAAACTTCCAAGAGAGGCCCCCTCTTGCAAGCTGAGGGCCCCAACAAGAGAGGAACAAGGAATAGGCAGCCGAAGCATGGCCCGAAAGCGCACCGCAGCCGCTACTCAAGAATATCGAGCACACGGCAGCCATCAGCTGCGGCATTGGGCGCCAAATCCGCAAGACATGTCGAAGACCTTTGGGTGCTGTGTGCTCTCTGACTAACTTTAGAAAGGCGAAGTTCAACTTGGAATCCTGGCGCCGCTCGTCAAGCTTCTACCGCTCGGCGCTCCTTGGCTCACTGGAAGGTCCTTGCTTCCTGCGGTTGTCTCTGCCGCGTTTCAGCATGACGCATCGTCGATCACTTGTGGCCTTGTATGGATAATGGTTGACATTTTCTGGGGGGTTCCTGAAGCCCACACTTTGCCGATAAGCCACTCTGGCAAACACTCTCGGGATGCTTCGCGCCAGCTTGCTTCAGGAACTTTCGCCCGGACCGACAAGCGGTCTTAGGGCTGCATCCCAAAGAGCCCAGAAGTGCCAAACGTAACAAGCCCAAAAGGCCAACAATGCAGCAAGCAGCTTCTTAATGGCTCGCTGGGACCCTCGTGCCTGCGGCATTCTTCCCTGCGCTCTTGCATGACCCTATATGAAACTTATGTCTTATGTGAACTTATGTGCCTTCTCAGTATTTCCACCAGTAGCCCTGTTCCTGGCAGCCCAGGATCTGCATCTTGATGGAGGGCTCCGAGATGGCTCTGACACCACAGTTCCTTCCGCAGCCAGCAGAAGACTGGGCCAAAGTCTGCTCATGAGGAAAAGTGGGTTGCAGTTCAGTTTTGTTTGGGGCTCAGCAACACCTTTATATAAAGCGGAGGGTAGGAGAAGCTTGAAGGGAGGTGGGGGGTTTGTCAGGTTGCTCACAAGCAGTCGTTAGTTCGAACAGAGTTTCTTTTTGTTGGTCTTTGGCAAGCCCTGACGCTGCAAAATCAACAGCGTTCGAGCTGTTTCCATGCTGCAACTCGCAGCAAGAAGCTCAAAGCCAGTCCAGGCCCTGTCAACCCGAAGCTCGCGCACTGAGACCTGCAAGCCGTACTTTGCCGGACAGGGGGCCATCAACGATCCCCACGAGTGTGCGCACGTCACGGACTTCTGGACCAGCCACCACGAGTGTGTCGGAGCCTCTGGTCGAGCCTATGGGTTTCTTTTTTGTCTAGGAGTGGTGGATGCCGGCCGCACTCTTCGCCCTCACGCCCGAAAGTTGGCTTTGCTGAACCAAACAGGTCCAGCCAGTGGTCAAGGTCAAAGCAAACCACTACGCCCAGGACTCGGCTCAGCTTGAGCTTTGCATTTATGACTTTGTGCCTAAGCCCAGACGCACTTGCTGGCGATGACAAACCTGCGTTCATATGTCGACAGTCCGGTGTCAAAGGCCCCAACTTACAACTAGCTGGTACTGTACAATACAAGACGAATTTCCCAGCAATCCAGCACAAGACTGCATTGGACGAGTGTAGACTATCGCTTTTGCTCAGCACAACTTCCGAAAAGCAAGGGCCCGCGCCGAGCGAAACCTCTAGTCCATCTTCTCGCTTATGAGCCCGCTGCGGGCAAATGAAATTTGCAGGGTTGCCAACCCTTGCCCCTTGAGAAACTGCCGAGACAGTAGGTGCTCATGAGCTCTGCCTGCACGGTCGCCTGCAGGATTGTTGGGATCGATGCAAGATCGGGGGCGATTGCGCCTGGTGCGGTTTCGGCCAAGCCTGCTGTCCGACACCCAAAAATCGGTTTGAAATGCTGGACATCGAAAGCCATTGTCTGTGTGTTGTCTTGCAGGGATTCGCATCAGGGCTTCTGGCGTGCGTGCAAAATAATCTCAGTCAGCCGCCTCTTGTCTGACGCCATCTAATGTTGAGTATGCTGCGTAGCTGGTATACTGCAAACAACATCTAGTGTTGCCTTGTGCCACGAGCAGCCCGGGGCCTAATGTGGAGACCTGTTCTTGACAATGCTTGAAAGGGACACGTCCTAAATCGAGGCTGATGTGTGTGTGTGTGTGTATGGGTGTGTGTCTATGTGTCTGTCTACAACGTAGGGGTTTGGGATCACGTTGTGGAGGCACAGGTGCAGGTTATGGGCTGTCGGATCCCTACCTTCTCTTCTAGTAGTCTGAATCGTGCCCTGCAGCAGATAACGCTGTGCAGACAGGTCGCAAGAATAGCACGCTGGATCCGCCGGAATGCTGCTTGGCGACGTGAGCTTGTTACGACCTTATTGTGATTCATGGTCTTTGAGAGTTGCAACGGCGACATCCTACTACTCGTAATTACTGTACTGCCGCATGCGACGACCCCGCTTCGACCATTACCAATACGACTACCACGACCACGACAATTCCACCACTACCACCACTACCACTTCCACTACCACTACCACTACTACTACTACTACTACTACTACTACTACTACCCCTACCACTACCACTACCACTGCCACTACCACTACCACTACCACTACCACTGCTACTACTGCTACTACTGCTACCACCACCACCACCACCACGACGACGACGACAACAACAACAACAACAAACAACAAACA